GAGGGAGGGAGGGAGGGAGGGAGGGAGGGAGGGAGAGAGAGAGAGAGAGAGAGAGAGAGAGAGAGAGAGACCAGTGCAGAAAGAAGGAAAAAGAAAAGCAGGAGACAAAGAAAGGGAGGGAACCATGGAGACATCAGACGGTGGCTGAGCTCAGGCTGGCCCCTCCTGGTCCCTGAGCCCCAGTAAAACACAGCCCCCTCCTCCTTCCTTTGGGGAACCTTGAGAGTAAGTTCTTTCTTTGTTGTGCCCAAGAAACACAGCAAACAGCTTCAGAGTCCCAGCCCTACCCCAATGTGTTTCATCCTCCGTGTGCCTCAGTTTCCCCAAATGTTACACATGCACCTTGTGTGTAGAGAGGAGTCATTGAAGATCCCAGCTACCCAGGCGCTTTACCCAGCATGCGTCTGCTCCCACACCACCCCAGAATCTCCTCTCTGAGCCGTGTTCCCCCCACCACACACACCCCAGTGACAGTCACAAAGTGTGATTATGGGAGTGGAGCTGGGGGAGGGGTGGCTCCTGGCGGGTGGGGCGGTCGATGAATTCGAATTACCGTCTGTGATTCATCACCGTGCAACCAGGTCGATAGCTTCGGCCGGCTTCAAATATTGTTTAAATTGCAACTCTGGACTGAAAAAAAAATCTTCTTTTTTGTAACTGATAAGAAAAATATACAAATCTAATGAAATATTCAAAGGAGGAGACAGAAATTCACAAACACATACCACACACCACTTAGATACACCTCAAACCACACACTGTACACACACACACTCACACCACACATGCACACATACCACACACCATTTAGATACAATCTAAAGCACACACATATACACACGCATGTACACACACACACACCACACATCTAACAGACCCATCACAAACACACACACACACACACACACACACACACACACACACGGAAAGATCCAGGGGCTGTGAGATGCTCGGGTTCTCCAAGGCAGCTGTACTTGGGGACAATGCAGATGCGGCAGGTCAGAGCAGCAGACAGAAAACAGAGGTGGTGTGTGTGGCCGTGGGCTCCTCAGACCCTCCTGCCCTGCTTCCTCTCCTGGGGGTTCTGGAAAAACTGGAGAGGTGGTCAGCTGTCGGCCTCTTGTTATTTTTATTTGGCTTTTTTGAGTCAAGTTTTCTCTGTGTGGTCCTGACTGTCCTGGAACTCAGTGTGTAGACCAGGCTGGTCTCGAACTAACAGAGACCCACCTGTCTCTGCCTCCTATGCCACCACCGCCCCACTTAAACTCTCCCCCTTCCATCTGAGGCTGTGAGCACTTCCTGCTATCTGTGGCCTCTCACTTGAGGCCTTCTGAGCCCAGGCTGATGAGGACCTTGAACTGCTGACCCTCCTGTCTTGCCTCTGGGTTCTGGGATGACAGCTGTGCAAACTGGCAAATAGGATGCTGGGCTGGAACCCAGGGCCTCATGCATGCCAGGCCAGCACACTCCCCAGGCAAGTACAGCCCTGCCTCTCATTCTCAAAGGCATGGAGTCTTTGTGTAAACCTCTGATAAGCTCCCCAACATAAAAAGGCCTCAGCTCCCCACCCACCCCAGAAAGTAGAGTCTGTTCTCAAAGGCCTTATTTAGACCTGGGACTCCCCTTGCGCCATTCTTAACTGGTCCTAGACAAAAGTCTGAGCCTCAGTTTCCTAATCTGAGAAATGGACAGAGTTGCATAAGCCCCTCAGAGTGTGGTAGGGGCTCCTGAAAGAGACTGGGTGGGTGGCACGAGCTTACATGGGTCAAAGGGGGGATACTCCAGGTGACCACAGAGGATACACAGTGGCAGTCTTCCCAGGGTTGAGTGGCACACCTATGTAAGGCCTTTGTGAGCCATTCCCAGGGGCATGCTGGTGTCCCTACAATGAGCCTCTTTGCACTTGAGCACAGGATCTGTCCAGGAGAATGGACCCTAGCCTGCTGGTCTCACAGAGATTTCTGTGGGATGATTTTAAATTTCTCACAGTACTGGGGATGGGACCCAAGGCCTCCTGCATCCTAAGAAACTGTCTAGCCCCTGACCATGCTCCCAACCCCTCACTGGGAGATTCTAGGTGAGGTTCCACCACCCTGACCATGCCCACAGCCCTCATGGGGTATGTGTGTGTGTGTGTGTTTGTGTGTGTGTATGGGGGGATTGGGGGTGTGTGTGTATGAGGGGATTGTGTGTGTGTGGATGAAGGGGATTGTGGGGGAGGGGTTGTGTGTGTGTGATTCCCTGTGTATGTGTATGGTGGGAGTGTGTGTGTGTGTGTGTGTGTGTGTGTATGAGGGGATTGTGTGTGTGGGATTCCCTGTGTATGTGTATGGGGGGATTCTGTGTGTGTGTGTATATGAGGGGGATTCTCTGTGTGTGTGTGTATGTGTGTGTGTATGAAGGGATTGTGTGTGTGTGTGTGTATGTATGAGGGGATTGTGTATGTGTGTGTATGAAGGGGATTGTGTGTGTGTGTGTGTGT